TTTTTTTTTTTTTTTTTTTTTTTTTTTTGGATTAGGGTGGGACATCGCTTGGCGCGGCCCGTGTCCGCGAGCGATAATAGAAAAACTACTGTCGCGCTATTACTGATCTTACGCCAGCCATAGACTCATACCATAATAAGAGTTGGAATGATGCAAAATATGTGAGGCTAATACGATTTTTAAATCTGCCGTTTTACCAAAGAGATTATAACTTTGATCACACTGATAGTCACCGGATAAGGTTATGCATGATACAATATATTTTATGTATCTGTGCCCACTTCCCATAACTATCACATTACACGAGTACTTTTTATCGTACACACATACTTTTCTTTCCGTAAAAAAACCTCACATCGTCTGTCTCTATACCTTATACGGACTACCTTAACATAACAATTTGTCTGTTGCGTTTAACTTTTCGTTTCACATCGACAACCCTGTGTGGCCTCTGATTTGCCTTTAGAAGACGGTTTGGGATAAATAGCCCGTTATTCCCGGTCTAGAACTGTATTTGTGCAAAGTTTAGGCTCAATCCGTTCGGTTATTCGGGTGAAAAATAGTAACTATAACGTACGTCCGAACGAAATATCTCATTTATTGATTTTCAAGTAGAAACGGTTTTATCGTTATGATGCGCGTATTTTTGACTATCGTTCAATGAATTTTCAATCGAAAATCTTGCTCAAGCCGTTGAAAATAAGTCTGTTGTCTGTCTCCGTTTGATAGTCACAGATTTCCGTTCGGCAGGGAATAGACTCGTTATCAAGCCCAAAGTGATGGACATTTTCCGTGCAACTAAGTCGTTCTTCGCGGTATTTTGATATTTTAATACGGATACGAGTACGCAAAATGGCACGACTTAAGGTCCGTTTACACGTATCCGATCTGATTCCGTTCCGACTTTTAGCGTTCCGAACCGAGTTCGTCATTTCACCTATTTTCAAACAGTTCGTATGTTGCCATCATATGAAACAGATGTTGATATTGTAAATTTTCATTTGAATTTTCATCATGACTGAATTTAGCGCTGAACAATTAATTGTAATGGCACTTTTGCTTGGTGAAGAACAAGAAAATAATTGTAAAACAATAAAATAAAACTCTGTGAGCCTTGTTGGTGATCTTTGGAAAAACGGGAACAACCGAAGGCGAATTCACAATATACATCGGACTTATTAACGACGAGCAAAAGTTTTATGAACACTTCCGTGTGTCCCAATAACAGTCGGAACTTGTTACTTCATACGTGTCCGATCCGACATCGGTTCGTCGAAAACCGTGCGTTCCCGGACGAAAATCGGTCGCTGACAATGTTTCTTCGGTCGGAGAAAGCTCGGAATGCTCGGAGTGGACTCGGATCGGACGAGTGTGAATACATACGGCGAAAAACAAGAAGTTTATATTCCCGACAACACGGACGGCCTGTCGGATCGGACTCGGAACTGACCCGGATCGGATACGTGTGAAACGCCCTTTATACGTACGAGCGCACGAAACGTTCCTCGCGGTAAATTTTGATAAGCGATCACCAACGGCGCAAAGTCGTCCCGGAAATTCGCCACGCGGGATACCCGAGTGCTCTTAAACCGAACTCTGCGGGATCGCGTTTCGTGTGCAGCGGTTTACCGCTGCGTCCGGCACGATTAGGTAAATAAATCGTCCGATTTGTTTTCTTCTTATTATACCGATATCCCGAAAAACGTTTCGGCACGGCAATATCGTAACGTTATCGTGTTGTTTTATCGCGCGGATTTCAGACGAGTTCTCGCCTACGTTGTTAATAACAGTTCAGTTTTTCATTTTTTTTTTTTTTTTTTTTTTTTTTTTTTTATTGCAATTATTTTCGTTAAGCTGTCGAACATTTCGCTAACCGTCCGCCTTGGTTCGTCATAATATCTATTACTGTTGTTATAACGTACCGTCGGACAACGATGCCTCGGCGATTCCGACAGGATCGCGTTCCGGAGCCGTCCGGATAAATACACGTATATGCACAGGCTCGTGTAGCTATTGTTTCGCTCGGTCGGCTCATTATCCTTTAATTTTTTTTTTTTTTTTTTCCCAGTTATTTGTTTTTTTTTCTTTCACTTTAATTATCGCCGGAGAGTGATTTATCCGTCAGACGAACCGAGGGGAGTAATGATAGGGGGGGAGTGGCGGGAGGGGTACGGAGGGTTGTGGCCGCTCGCCGCCGACGATCGGGCCGACTGCGGAAAGAGTGCCCGGGGCCGCGCGTTGATTGTAAAATATTATCCGCGATATCTCAACGAGCTCGTCTCGTGTTTTTCGCGCGTGAAATCCGTGTACGCGGCAAACAAAACGGCTTTCCGTTTCGATCGGATACAAATCGAACGGGGTAGTGGGGGGCTGGGGTTTCGCATTCGGCCGACGTATTCCTCGGTTTTGTAATCCACTCGCGCCCCGATAATAATTTATATCGCCGCGAAAATGCGCTCGCCAGAAAACACACGGATATAATTAAACGGGAAATTATACGATATGTTTGCGCGAACCTTGGGCCCTCGCGTATTATTTCCAGTGCGAGATTCGCGAGGTTTTCCCGCGATTTGTCCGTCGAACGACGCCCCGCGAAACGGCAACGTCTGCGGTGACGTGCCCGGTACGCACGGTTTTCACCCCGAGCACTCCGAGATTTGTTTCCGAACACTTGAACAACTTTACGGCTAAACTTTTTTTTGTTTACAATATTTTCGGACAGGTATCTGCGTCCCTCTTAGTGACGCGACAAACATCCGGACAATCGGAAAATGTTGAAAATCCAGATTTTCGGTTCGTTCCGAAATTCGAGTTTTTGGATTTTTTTTTTTCAACGATAAACGTTTATAACATAAAAAACGCCTTCGAAACAGGGACTCAGACCGGTTTTTCTCGGGTCATTTTTCGAGCCCCGACCCTATTTTTAAGGGGCCCGTGCCTACGAAAAACGTTTCCCGTTGGAAATCAGGTTTAACTCTCAATGAATAAAATGGCCCGGTAAAGCTTAGTATGGCCCCATTTAGAAAAATCGAATAACTAATTTCAAAATCAATTATTCGGATTTCGCAAGCCAGATTCTGACAATCTTGATTATCAAACGTCGGCCAATCCGGAACCGTGAAAACTTGTATTCCTCATTCGTTCTCCTTTAGATTTCGTGGACTCCCCGTTCATCTGTCCGAACAATGATATGTTAAAATCACATTATCCATTCTAGTTTTTTGGTCCACCGTCTGCTGTTTTCTATATTCAATCTCGCGTAGAGTATTTTTATTTTGAAATATATTGTCATGTCGTACAGTACAAGTACCTAAAAATATATCACAAACACGCAGCCTTCGAATTAAACCGCGGAAAGGGGAAATTACGATTAAGCTTTTTTTTCTTTTTTTTATTCCGCTGCGAACGAATTATTTTTCCGTTCGGTTCGGCGTAAAAGTAATCACCGCCGAAAAATCGGACCGATTCTCTTTATCGAAAAAAAAAAACCTCTCTGGCAAAACTATATATAATTATTTTATAATTCTGAACGTAGAATAATTGGTTTATTGTGCAAAAAAAAAAAAAAAAACGTATTTTACATATCCCTTCCCTTCCCGTCTGATAAATACATTACAGCTTAGCGGAGCGATTTATATCCCATTAAAAACCGAAAGAATACAGTAATGTGAACCACGAAATGGTCCTGAAAATATTTAAAAAAAAAAAAAAACAAAATAAAAATTTGTTGATATTGAAATTGTTTGTCAAGAAAATACCTACGCTGAAATTTGTTTTTCTAAAGCATACACTATACACAATATTCGATTTGATAATTGTAAAATTGTACACCGCCGCGGAAAATGTCCGTAAAAAAAGTCCATAGAGACGTAATATTTTCAAAAGTCAAACGCGAATATAATTATTTTACCACCGGTATTACGCGTGTACCGTGTAACGTAATTATCGGCGATGGAGCAAGACGGATTTAATGAAATTGTTATGGCCACTCCTTGAAAGTTTTAAATATTACTGTCGGACTAAACGGTCAACCGCTTTCTGTTTAATCGAATTAATCCGATTAGTTTACGGTAGGACAACAAATAAATAAAAAAAAAAGTATAAACATATTATTATGTCCGTGTACAAATAACTGAACGATTTAAGTCGTTTAGTTCGTTTTTGTCGGGTTTTCACCCCAAATTTCCAGACTAATAATAAGCCCCGCGTATTGTGTCTGCAGTTTGCCCAGTACTTATGTACACTTTTAGCGGCTCCCTGTAGACCCGAACAACCTCAAACTCCGGAATTGGAAATATTTCGTAAGCCGATTATAGTTAGAATTTCAACGTGAATTTCATCGGTATATCGTTGTGGCAAAAGGGTGTTTTTTTTTTTTTTTTATATCGGACCCCTTCATCAAATGAAGCCAGAGGAATGAAACGCTGCAAACGCACGGCGTTAGACTTATTGATGCCCCTTTAGAGAGTTTAAAATTTAAACCCTTGCCCCTACAGTTTGTACGCTCAAATTTCAATATTTTTTTTTAAACATTTAGAATCTGATTGTAGCGAAAAATGTATTGGTTTTATTAAGATTTTTTTTTTTTTTTTTTTATCCTGTGTACAAAACCATAAATTCGGCCATAATCCTTGCTCAAATATAAACGAGCGGCGCCATTTCTAAAAGGGAAAATTGTCTATATGGTACTGTTGGTAAATCAATTTTTGATTTTCCAAGTGGTTTTTTTTAATATCTGGGAAAAACCAGGATGAAACGTAAGAAAAACGGGAAATGTACAAAATTAATGCTTTTATTATATTATGAATTTTGTTATTTGTTGTGATTCAGTTAAAAAGATTCATAGAGATTGAAGACTTGATATTTGGGCAGAAATATTATATTTGCCTTTTCTAGAAGTGGTACAATTTTCAAAAAATGTAAACCATTTTTGAGCTATTGATAGACATTTTAATTTTGTACGTTATTTTTATTCGGTACGTACTCAGTGATACAATTGTTAGACTTAATAGAAATGTTTAAATACTTAACAGGAGGTTCTTACTTTGTGGTAAAAAAAACTTTTAAAAAATTGATTTTAATGTAGTATTTGTTTTTATAAAGGAATTTTGATCACACATTATGTCGAAAATATTTGAGTAAAAAATTAAGTGGAATAAAACTAATTTTTCAATTTTTTTTTTCCAACATATGTGTATTAATGATTTAAGAAGGATAGTTAAGTCAGAATTTAGTTGACTGACTAAGTTTCGAAATTATAGGTTTTTAAAGTTCAGAAATTTTACGCATATTGTATGTTTATGTTAAATATTTCTATTATTGTACGTTTGTTGTAGTAGAATTGTCATGAATAAGTATTGTCATATAAGGGGTCGCGGATTTTTAAACCCAAGGTTAGAAAAGACATTTTGTGTACCTTTTACCTAGATAAAGAAAAAACAAATCAATTTTAAGAGTTTCCTTATCAAATATGATAATCCGGGAATGAACATTGGAAAACCGGGAAAAACGCAGGAAAAACGAGAAAATCGATACAATATTAAACAAATCCATCTCCATTATCTTAAGACGTCTTTTTTTTTTTTTGTGTAAGTAGTGTAGTTGTAGTACAATATATAGACTCGCGTTATTAAAGGTTCGGTCGTTTAATTTGATTACTTATTTGTTTTTTTTTTTTTTTTTATTATACAATTTAATTATACACCTGCGTTTAAAATGTACTTGTTATGTCGACGGCTTTTAATCGAAATATTGAATTGTTAGTAAATTACAATTGAATTATTAAACGAAACAACACGAAAGAACTGCAGATTCCATGTTGACATTTCTATTTAAAATAGCTATAACATAGACAACTATAAAATTAACAAAATTTTCTGAATCCAAAAAATACTAATATCAGTTTTCAGTAAGAATTTAAAATCTCTAAGGTTGCATTGAATTACAAAAAAAAATAAATATAAAATAAAAGCTAATCGAAATTAGTAAAAACCGTTTCCATTAAGGAGTTAAG